TCCCCAACTCCATAACTACAGAGACTCATAAAAGATTCTTAAGGATCAAGGAAAACCTTCTAGGGATTTAAGATTCAGTAATCCTTTGATAAACTGGAAAAACTAGCAAGTGTGCAAGTGCCCTCCTGCTGAAGGAGATTCTGCATGTGGGCCACACTATCCATACAGGATTACAGATCTTAATAAATAGAAACACTGGACTGGGTCCTACCAGCTTTTCAGCTGGGGTGAGAAGGAAAAAGGCTGATTCACTCACTTCTTCTCTTCACAGCACCCCTGTCCTTTGTTTCGTTTTGGGGGTTTTCGTCCCATGAATCCTTGGCATCTTTTGGGGATCAGAAGGTGCTCCTCCTCCTCACAACAGAAAGGGATCCAACCCACTGCTTCAAGGCAATGTAAGCTTACTGTGTAAAATTTTAAGGTAAATCCTATCCAAATTATCCCAATATTTTCATCAAATAGTTAGAACCACAGTAGTAACTGGTTTCCTTTGCTTCTGTTGTTATAGACTCCCCTCCCCCCTATAACATCTAACAGAACTGTTTCAGTGCATCAGACTAATATACCTCACAGAACTTCGTCTCTGTTATGCTGATGGTGTGTAAGAACACAGGACACTTATGATGCAATTCTGAATAATCAAGAATGGCAAAGAACCTAGATCTTTTCTCTTCTTTGCTTTCTATATGCAGTATTTCTGAAACTGAGATATAGTTTCAAGAAAATAAAGCTAGGACTATGCAAACAACAGCAGCATTTTGGTAAAATCAATTTAAATAAACAAAGAGAAATTACAATATTAGATTGTTCAATTATTCTCATGTATAACTCCTACAAATTTATTAGTGTAATTTCTATGGCCTGATTAATTCCAGCATATAACCATTATATTATGTAATGCAGTTAAGCAGAGAGAAGGTTAATCTGAGTGCACTTCTGTGTTTTGTAACTCAGGGGTTGATGAGCAGTTTTGGAAAGTCTGTTTGCACAGCAAGGGCTTCTAACACATTTTAAAACATTGCAAGACTCTAGGGTGCTCATTTAGTTCCATCATAAACTGGATCAAAATTGAAAAATGCGATTGCAGCCTATAGTCCCCAGATAATGTATTACACTTGAAAAATGAAATAGATTCTGCTTGATTGTGCTTTTGCCATTGCACGTATAACCACATGCATGCAGATGGGTGACCAGAACAAGAACAAATGTTTATGTTAAGGTTTACATCTTTAAGGTTTACCTCTTTAAAAGCAGTGCCAAAGTGCAAGTAATATATAATAAAAAACTGGAAAGACATTTATTACTAAGGGATCATCCAGAGATGCTACTTATGGGGTTTTTTTAATCTGTAACAGTTTTGCTAATCATTTGGTACTACTTATGTTTTTTTAAAAAAAATCAATCTGTAACAGTTTTGCTAATCATTTGGCTGTGCTAACACGATGGAACTGTGACCTGACACACAACTCTTTATGCGTACTCCTCTGAAGATTTCAGTAAATGTGTTCCAATGTTAAAAATCAGCTCTTTCAGCTGATAAATAAAAGCTCATTTCCATGATCCAACACAGAAAAACCATTTTATGTAGCTTACATTTTTTCCTCCCCACAACTCCCCTGAGATTTTAAAGGTGTCCATACCTCATATTCTATTCTCATCTCAAGCACACTTACTTAATAGTTATTTCAACATCTTTGCAAGAGACCATTTACATTTCTTATGTGAAAATGTATTCTTCAAAAAGTCATTATCTCATGCTCCATTAGAGAAGAGGAAAGAACACATGCTATGAGTTCATAAATTCAGTATGCACTTTAACCATTTGTTGGAATTTTCAAAATGTTGGAGAGGCTTGCTACAGATGACAGGGATCTGCAGTAGATTAAACATATTTTATGAGTCTACCTGTATAACGATCATGTTTGAATGCCTAAGTTTGTTGCATTCACTTCAGATTTCACTATGTATATAAACTATATTAGGAGTGCATCTAAAAACTGTAATGTGCTCAGGGAAGTTATTCAACATATACAACACTATTCTGAACTTTCATACATTTGCTTCTAGAAGGCTTCCTTCACATATTTGGTTTGCCACACGATGTAAGCCCAGGAGGTACCCAATAACCCCTATCCTCCTGCCCAGTCTTTAGGGTCACAGAATCTCTAAAGTGACGGTTTTCCTATGGGAAACATATTTTAGTGTTGAAAAAATCTGGCAACAAAGCTAATTAGTCCCAAAGATGCCACATTCTACAAAACTTAAGATGCCAATAACAGAAGATATCATTCATGTATCATTAGAGCCCCATGCCACAGGCATGCAAAGAGCATATTGGGGGGCTGGGGGGACCATATGGGGGACTCAATGGGGGTGGAGTGGCTAGGCCAAGCTGTGTTGGGTGGGTGGATGCAGGCCCGTAGCCAGGATTTTTTAAGGTGGAGGGCATTTAAATTTCTTAGGGGGCACTGGTTAATCAAATTAAAGGAATACCTGGCTCCTTCCCCGCACCTGCTGCCACTTGGGGGCCATGGGCTGGATGGGAAGTCATAGGGCCATGCCAGGAAGTCAGGGGGCCTAGCCCTGAGATGCCCCACTGTAGCTATGGGCCTCGGTGGATGACAGCAGGCATGGGCCAGCTGTGTGGTGAGGTGGGGGTCCCCAATGCTGCCTATGATAGAAAGGAATCCTCTTCATCCCTGAGTACCTTGCCTTACTGTCCTGTCACATCCCCCAGCATGTATGCAACGAGAGAGAGGATGGATGGAACCCTTGCTTTCTACATATGTGTACTAGCAGCAGTCTTTTCAAAGTCTGCAACAAACAAACAAAAGAAAACAAAAACAGCTGGGACTCTGCAACCTTCCTAATGGTTCTGACCCAAGGGATACCTGAAGGACTGCCTACTCCCTAATGAACCCACCGACTGCTACGGTCATCTTCGGAGGCCCTGCTTTGGAGTCATGGCCAAGTAGGCCCTCTCCTGGGTTGCCACCCACCTAATCTCAGAAGATGGGGGCACCCAAAGCAGGGCCTCCGAAGATGACCGTAGCAGTTGGTGGGTTCATTAGGGAGTAGGCAGTCCTTCAGGTATGTTGGTCTCAAACCATATAGGGCTTTGAAGGTAAAGACCAGCATGTTGATTTGTGTCCAGAAAGAAACCGGAAGCCAGTGTACGTGGGCCAAAACTGGAGTAATATTGGACCTATGACCCACTCCAGTCAACAGGGAATGGAGCAATAATGCTGGGTCATGAGCACCTCCAGACTACAGACCTGTTCCTTCAAGGGGAGTCCAGCCCTATACAGAATTGGTGATACCTGTCAGACTTTCCACCCCAGTAGCATTTCTGTCTTTTCAGGACTAAGGTTCAGTTTATAAGCCTGCATCTACTCCAAAACTGCCTCCAGGCATTGGTTTAGGGTTTCTACACTGCCCATGGTATCTGGAAGTGCAAGACAGAGTTTAGCGTCATCCACATATTGGTGACAACCCAGCCCAAATTGCCTGATGGCCTCACCTAGCAGCTTCATGTAGATGTTAATGAGCATAGGGGACAAGATGGATCCTTGCAGGACCCCATAGGCCAAAGTGCCGTGTGGCAGTTCCCCTGCACTGCCTTTTGAAACCAATCTTCCAGGGAGGACCAGAACAACCTCAGAAGGGTGCTTCCCAATCCCAGTCCAGATAGGCAGTCCAGAAAGATACCATGATTGATAGTATCAAAAGCACAGAGAGGTTCAGGAGAATCAACAGTCACATTTCTTCTATCCATTTCCATCCACCAGGGAGACCATGGCTGCCTCAGTTCTATAATCAGGCCTAAGCCCAGACTGGAGGGAATCTAAACAATTTGTCCAGCTACCATTCATTCAATCACCTTGCTTAAGAATTGAACACTTGAGACTAGTTGATAATTTGTGCAGTAGCCCTAGAATTTCATCTCTTGTCACCTTAATTTGACTCCGTTCTTCAGATTCACCTCCTGAAAACAGTGGCTCTGGCATGCATATGTGCCTCACACTTTCCACAGTGAACACAGATGCAAAGATGTCATTCAGCTTCTCTGTCATCTCCCTTTAGCAGTCCTTTTATTCTTTGCCATCTAATGGCTTAACTGCCTCCCTGGCCGGTCTCCCACTCATGATATATTTAAATAAATGGTTACTATTTGTCTTGGTGTTTTTAGCAACTGGATCCTCACATTCAGTTTTCTCTTGCCTAATTAACTTACACTTTGTTTGCCAGACCCAGTGCTCTCTCTTCCTAGGGGTAATCCTTCCATTTTTTTAAAAAAAGAGAGAGGCTGTTTTGCTTTTACGGCTTCCTTTACTTGAGTCATTAAATGTGGCAGCATCCTTTTAGACTTGGTGGTACCTTTCCTAATCAGGGAATGCACTCTATCTGGGCTTCAAGTAGTGTGGCTTTAAATAGCTTCAAAGTATCCTCCAGGAATTTAAATGTATCAAGTCTCCCTTTCAGCCTCCTTCAAATTAGCCTCATCATTTTTGAAATCGAATACAACTGTTCTAGACTTTGGGGGCAACTTCCCATTGCCACGAATGCTGAACTTAGTAGCATTGTGGTCACTGTTTCCAATCAGTATAAGGACATCTACATTTCGCACAAGTTCTTGAACCTACTCCACTCAGAACCTAGTCCAAGGTCGGTACCCTGGTCATCTCTGTGACCCATTGTGGAGTCTAGGATGACTGGGTTGTCCCTAATAGTGTGAATGGGATTTATTAAAGAAAAAAGTGACGTTAACTTCAAAAGATGTCTAAAGAGATATGCATATAATACATATGGTCTCATAGAATTACCATCTTGTTTTAAAGAGAAAAAAACTAGAAATATGATTATACAAATCCATTTCTCTAAATACTAGATAACCAACTGGGCCACAGCTCCCCATGCATTACACAAACCATCAATTTTAACTTTGTAATCTGCTCACTAGCACCTCTAGAGTGCAAGGAATACAAATTAGAACTACTTACTCATTTCTCTCCAGACTGATGACAAGTTGCTGGCTTTCAGTTTGTATTAGAAATTTCAGCGTTGCTGGGTAAGGCTGAAAAATGAAATAGAAGTGTCATTCCATTACTACCCAAAACACATGTAGGCACCTCTGTTCTGCAGTAGGTATCCAGGGTGCAAGTCTGGGCCATTACTGCCAGAAGGAAGACTACAAAAAGATCTGTAGGGGATGTTATCTAAATATACAGCAAAAACAAACACCTTGACCGATTTCCCACATCCACTCCTCTCTTTGCCCCGATGGTACGTGTCAATTTCCTACTCGAAGCCGTGCGGCCGCATTTTGACCCGCGGCTTTGCCCAATTTTGCCCACGGTTTCATAATCTTCAAAAAACAAGATCAAAAAACCTTGGGGGGGAAAGGGCGAAGCCACGGGTCAAAATGCGGCTGTGCGGCTTCAAGTGAGAAATTGACACGTACCATCGGGGCAAAGTGAGAAGCGAGCGCAGAGCAGCTGCTGTGGGAAATCGGTCATTGATACCATTTTTAATTACTTTTGCATTTGATAGAGGAGAACATCTCCATATTTGCTTTCTTGACTAAGGCTTTAATTTATCCTAGCCAATCACAAGAACACTTAAATATGTTAATTTTATTGATTGAGCACTGCACAGAGAAATTAATGCATGTGCCTGAACCACTGATTGATAGACTAATAACTTTATACAGCCATACACCTCAGAATGACTGATTGACAATGTGCCCTTGAACGACGATAACAGGAATTATTTCAAAAAGAGAGAGAAGCTGTTGGTTTAATTAAGCATTTTATTGGTGATAATGATGTGAGAGTGGTTGCACATTCACACAATCCAGTAACAACTGCAGAATTTCAAAAACAAGTTCTGGTCTACAGAACTGTGTGAAGGGATTTCAAAAGCCCTTGTTATACTTGGAATAGCTTTTAAGTGTGTGTGTGTGCGCGCGCGCGCGTACGCACCTGGAAGTCGTGGTTGACTTCTGGCGACCCCTAGTGGGGCTTGTATGTTTCAGAGAGGTGGCTTGCTATTGCCTGCCTCTGCATCCCAGCCGTGGTATTCCTTGGAGGTCTCTCATCCAAGTACTTGCCAGGGTTGGCCTTGCTCAGCATCTGAGATCTGATGAGACTGGGCTTACCTGGCCGGAATAGCTTTTAAACTTTGAAGAACATCTGCTGCTCATGTACAAATCTGTACATGAATGAAACAAATTCTCTGAATCAGGAACCAAGAACTGTGCAGCTCATATTTTACTGGTTACTCTGGTGTGTACTTCCAGGTATGCACGCATGTACGCACACACACACACACAAAAGCTATTCTAAGTATAACAAGAACAGTTACTTCCATGGGCACCATGACACCTACCAATGAGTTTCTGGGCATGTCTAAAAGTATCTCTTCCCCATAGCAGTCAGTCCTGGCTTTCCTCCAACTCACTGGAGCAGGGGATGCTATGAAAGAAGCAACGAGACATCAATGACTGTCAGTGGGTTAGACTGAAATCAATGGGTCTGCAGCAACAGCTGTCTCCATCATAAGATGCTTGGGTTGCTCTAGCACCATGAGGGACTGAGAGTTTTGCAGTTTAGCCAAGACCAAAACCCTCATCACAGTTCACCTAGCCACGAGACACTTGCATCACAGGTTGGGCATGAAAACTAAGAGCTTGGCTCCCTAACATTTCCCAAAACTACTTCTCCCTACCACTGGGAAAACTGGCTGATGGAATACACACAGGCAGCTGGCTTCCATGCTGGCTCTCATCCACACATTTCAAGCCCTAACAGTATTAAGAGAAAGACTGCCTTTCCTCTATTTTGGTTAAGTGCTTTCCCTAGGACTGTGTAGGAGAGGACAGTAAGAGCAGGTTCTCCTAAGCTAGAGGCCAGCTTGGGGTCTTATGAAATATTCAGTGGAATTAAGTATGGGGACAGTAGTTTATGGATTAGAAAGCTTCTCAGAAAAAACAGCTATAGCAACATGGAGAACTAAAGCTGTCTCAGGAAAATAAATATAAAAGTCTAGGCTTTTTATAAAAAGTTGTCACCAACATCTAGAACAACCCATTTCATATGTCAACTGTGTTAATTCAAACACATCTTTTCATGCAAGACAGCAGGGAAATTAAAATACAGCATTCAAGTGAACTTTCCATTATCTGGATTATTCGACCATACAAAGTAAATACTTCATGCTGTAGCCTTGGCACTTGAAGTCACTTATTGCCATGAATACCTTGAGGAAATCTTGATTAGTACTTTAATATTAGGTAAACCATTCCATGGCCTAGAATATATCAATACTGTTGAATTTAGAAGGACAATATAGAATTAAGATATCACAATTGCTTATTAAGGTAGTTCCAGATCTGAGATCCTCTTCCTGAGATGCAAAATTACCCACATGTTTGTTTATGAGTTCTAAAAGAACTTTGTCAGTCATTTATTATTAGGTTATATTTAAACACCACATGTGTAATTATATCCTTTCGTAATAAAAATAAAATTGTCTTGGGTAAGAGCATATTATTTGAAAGTAGGGATGGGCACGAACTGGTTCATGAGCCAAAATTTGGCATGCACTTGGCCCAATTTGAAGCCCCCAAACTGAAGTTCAGGAAAGCTGCCTTCCCCAAACACTTACTGTACTTTTGTCTGATTGAGTTTGGCTGTTTGGGCCTTACAGCTTACAGCTGAGCAGCGCGGGTTCGTAACTCACCTGTTAGTTTTAAATGGCTGTGAGCCATTTCACTGGTTGGTTTCACTTCCTCTGCTACTAAGTGGGGAAAGCGAAATGAACTGGTGAAATGGCTCACAGCCATTTCAGCCTAACAGCTGACAGGTGCACCCACCCCGCTGTGAGGCTGAAATAGCTGAGAGCCAGGGCTATTTTTGGGCAGGAACACACAGGAATGGAGTTCCGGCTGGCTCCTGAGTTGGCCACGCCCAGCAGGAACTCATTAGCATTATAGGCCACACCCAACAGCAGGAACTCATTAGGATTGGCTACATTAGAGGTGTGTGGCCTAACATGCAAAGGAGTTCCTGCTCCAAAAAAAGCCCTGGGTTTTGACAACAAACAAGGGAAACAGAATAAGAAGCAAAAGGTGGGTGTGGCTGGATGAGTACACTTCTGGTAACACAGGGGTGTGGCCTCATATGCTAATGAGCTGTGCTGTCAGGGGTGTGGCCTCATATGCTAATACATTTCTGCTGTTGGGTGTGGCCAATTATGCTAATAAGTTCCTACTGGGGTTTTTCTACAAAAAAAAGCCCTGTCGAGAGCCATATAAACCTAACAGCAGGTCAGGTCCACCCATCAGCTGTTAGGTTTAAATGGCTATGAGCCATTTCACCGGTCCATTTCACCCCCCCACACTTCGAAGTGGGGGAAGTGAAATGGACAGTTTAAAAGGCTACCAGTCATATTTAACCCTTCCCAGACAATTCCCCCTTTCTCCTGGCCGCAGCAAGTCACAGTCAAAGGAGGATCTGAACTGGCCGGTTTGGTTCGGGGCTTTTTTGGCTTGATTTGGGGTTCTGTTCGGGAGCTGCCCTGAACCCCGAACCAGAAATTTTAGGTTTGTGTCAATCCCTATTTGAAAATATATTTTCCTGTTTAGATAGCAGTAATCTTTGTACCAGTTCTATATCAGCTGAGGTCATTTTTGAAGAACAAAAGCCTGAAAATACATTCTTTCCAAAGAAGGTCCACAAAAGTGCTCATGATGAGCTATACTGACTGCTCATTGTGCTCCTGTCACAAGCAATCATGTCAACACTCTGATTAGAAACATAATGCATAACTTTATGTATAATACTGCTCAAACTGTATTTTTTCCTTCTTGCACATATAGAAGGACCTCCACTTCGGAATCTCTTACCCAGAAGAAGTGTTGAATTTAGCAAACCGCATGTTTCCTAGACAAATGCTAAAAAAATTATTTATTGTGCATAGATTAATCTGTGAAGTAGAGAACCCACTAGATTATGCTAAAGATATTACATATCCATCCACTTATGAGAACTCAAAGAATATTTTTACGAGCTCATTTTACCTGCAGATCATATCATGTTTAGCATATATTCAGCAAGCTACTCTTACATTTTCCACCACCAACAAAGGAAAATGGCTTTTCCTCCAATGTTTTGTTTCTGTAAAAATACTTATATTGCCAAACGTTTATGTTTAGATACAAATGATAATTAACACAGGGATCCTAGCACTAACCTTAATAATTTGATAGGATTCGCATGGATTTCTTTTTCATTATTACTGCTATAGCCTCAGTGAGACAAGAGAAGAGATTTAACTCCTTTAGACACCGTTCCAGCTATTTTATTTCAAATAGACTACAGCTAAACAAAATTTACAGTCTAATCCTAAATAAAGTTATACCCTTCTTAGCCCACTGACTTCAATGGATTTTAAAGGGTATAACCCTGTTTAGGACTGCACTAATAGTCTTGTAGTCTCTTCCTGTCTAGAGTAGGACAAGCCCATTTGGTGTAATGGCTTGCCTGACGGTATTTCAGTTTTATTATCTTACAACAGAACATGGGTAATGGCTACAATCTTAGGAACACATTGCTGATACTTTCTGAAAGGTATTCAAAGGTATTCAAATTCTGAAAGGTATTCAAATTCACAATCAGCCTGTTTTGACAAAATGTCTTAACAGGATCAAATTATATTGAATGAAGATTTCTCGGCATACTGAATAAAGTTAGTAAAACTGGGCCCTTACACTGGGGAAAAAACTGCGTAAAATAAGGATCTGAAAAGGCAGAAAAATATGTATCTTATTTTCTAAGCATTAGTGCACAACTGGTGGAAGCATACCGAAGAATGACTCCCAGTTGGAAGGAGAAGATAGGACGTATCAACAGCTTATTGAAAGTGAAGGAGCTCTTCCATATTCTCTTACTAGAATCTGAATCTATATGCACATTTTTAACCTGCTGAGTAGGCAATAACTTTTCAAGTTATTGCTCTCCTAGAATATAAATGAGCCAGAAATGAAGAGAATGTCAAGCCAGATGAGAATGCCAA